AGAACTTTTTTGTACACCTAATAATTACTAGTCAATTTGAATGCTTGGAGAATTATATATACTCAAAGTATTATGTCAAAAGTTTATAATTAGCTCGACATAGAATTGCAGAGTTAAAGAAAATTATAAATAAATATTTTGTTGATTGCATAATTTGCTTACAAATTGATCACTATACAATCACTTATGTTTCAAATATTATAATGAAAATTAGTCAAAAATTAATTACCTGAGGAGGACTCTTTGTATTATCACAACAAATGGAACCAGATTGACAGGTTGATGTTTTCGCTATGATCACATTTGGCCGTTCGCAAAAAGCCGCCATAAGAGTTAATAAACAAAAACCAGGACATGGCGGTAGCTTCGATTGAGGAGCCTTCGTGGACGGCCGGACTGTCGTCGTTTCCTAAGCAAGGCGATATATCTCATACTACTGCAAACAAGTTTGAAGTAATCTCGCCAAATTATAGTATTACTTAATAATAAGTATTGGCATTTTCGATAATCGGCAAAAATCTTATGTTTAATCTTATGATAACTTTCTATAAATTTTATACATTTTATCTTTATGCTGCTAAATCAAGCGCCAATTATTCCTCGATTTTGAAACGCTTTAAAAGTTTTAGCTGTCAAAGCTGAAATTTTCAAATACAATATTTCACGCTATTAAATTGATAATTGATAGTCAATGCTAATAACTATCCTACAAATTTACAAGAAAAATTTGACAATCTTTAAACTTCTAAATAGCCTCAAAATAATTTTTTCGAACACATTTAACATGTGCACGAGTGATATATTTTTAGATAAAATAGTCGTGATTCACGCGTTAAATATCAAATTTCATTACCGCTTTTTGCGGTGGTGGTTCATTGATGCAGCAGACTGTCAATACAGATCCATCGGCGGGACAATCCGCATCTCCATCGATGTTATCGCAGAAGAGAGCAGACAAACCACTCGTGCACTCTCCCTTACATTGTTTGAACGGTATTGGTTTTGGTCTTATTGTTGTCGCAGCCGTTGACGGCTGTCTGGTAGCAACTGTCGTTGTTGCCATCGTTGTCATTGTCGTTGCGATTGTGGTTGCAGTCACGGAAATACTCGTTGACAACGATGTGTTTGGTCGGGTTGTTGTCAATGGGGATGAGATTTTGCTAGAGGCTCCGCTACCGTTCTTCTCGTCGTAACGGGAAGAATTCAAGCGATCAATCACTAAAAGCTCAGGTGGTGGAGAATCCCCAAAAGCATCTCTGGACACGCAACACTTATAGCCCGGCTTGCAGAGAGTATCTATTATCAATACAGCATCGCAATAATCAGCGATTCTTTCGGCCATGCAAATGCCCGAACAAGTTTTCACTGAAAATAAACGTTTATTATTTCAATTTGACTAATAGATGATCACTTAGGTGATCGACGCGAATAGAATTAAAACATCAAAAAATAAATGCTATTTAATACAAAATTTGATATAACATAAATATACCGAATAACAATGTAAAAGAAATGTTGTATGATATGGCACTGCAAATTAACATTTAGGTAAGGATCGTAGATAAAATAATCGCGAGACCATACTTGTTTCTGAATGTATCTAAATTATCTAAAACGTGTAAAACGTTATCTTCAAACATATTATATAATTGTCAATAATATTTTTTAAATAAGAAAAATGCATAGCATCGCAATCATTCACGAGATAGTCGCTACATGTTCAAATACAAAGTATAATATGCATCATATTTTAATTTCATTTAAAATTTCATTTAAAATTCGAATATATTGATTTAAAATGGAATATCTTACAATAAAGAGATATAGTTTATGCAAAATGTTTACGTACTTGATAACTTTTCACTCGTCTCGTTGTAGCTTTCCTATAAAACAAAAAAATATTTTTGAATACAATTTATACGCTAAATATGGCAATAAAATACAAAGAAAATATATCATTTTTGATAAGATTTTTGTATGTATAGCTTTAAATTAATGATAGAAAGAAGAGAACAAAAAGACAATTATTTTTATTTATAAATGAAATTTTTAGGTCAAAACAATTATCAAATGATTCAAAACAATCATCTTCGCGATCCACCATAAATCTATCGACGACGATATATTTCCTCTTGCTTTCTAGCAATAACTTTCTAGAGCAGTTTTCAACATGTCAACCTAACTTATTTTCTCCAATTCCAAATCTGCTAAACATACCGGTGTAGTTTTTGCTGAAGTGAAGGAAGTTGACGTACTAAGCATCGTGGTGGTTGTTGCGGGTGTCGTCGTAGAAATCGTCGTGGTCTTGACGGTCGTAGACATAGTCGAGGTTGGCTCTTCATCGTCGATCGCATTCTCGGAGGATGAGCCAGTACTATTTATTGGATCCTGCAGACAGCATCGCATACTTGTTGCAGGACACTGCACATCCTCAAGAACGTCGTCGCACATCAATGTCGCTAACGCATGTACACATACGCCCGGACAGTCGGCAATCTTCGCTGTACTGGTTAGAGAATTTAAGAAACCTGTATACATAAATCATATCTTTAAACATGTCATATTTAGATTTACTTGCAAGATTGTAGGGTACAATTCTTGAAAATTATAATTTAGTTAAATGTATCTTGTCAATGAAACTATACGTTCTGTTTCACAAAACACATTACAAAAAGTATTTGCTATTTATAATATAATTATAAATTTGATAAATCAATATAGAATAATGTATAATTTTATAACATATTTTCAGATTGAATTTCAATTAGTACAGATTATTTAAGTAACTAATTCATGTTGTATGATTCATATAGAATTTATAAATTGTATTTGAACCGAATGTTCAGATTAATACGAACATATAATTTTCTTAAAGTTCAAACTTCACACATATTGTATTATAAATATATATATTCTAACAATTATAAAAAAAAAGAATAAACAGATTTATCTCAGATAAATTTATTATAAAAGTTATGAGGGCACACAGATAAGTGGTGACAGCGCTCTTCTGAACAATTCTTCGTAACGGTCCCAAATCCCGAATCGGTCAGACCTGACTTGGAAGAATCTCGAAGAAAGGAAATTTAATCGATTCAAAGTATGCTGAGACGCCGGCCAGGATAAACCTGGCGTGTTAACCGCAGACGATAATATTACTTCATATCTCGCGTCAGCAAAGAACTGGAGGAAAGCCTCTTACGAAATTACAACTATTACCGCTACCGACATCGTTAATTGTAACTGTATATCGCTTACAGATACCGCGCGTGGGGGTACCGTCAACGAACGGCCGGAATGCTTGCATACGTAATCCCATTGGCGACCACTTTTACAAAAAAATAGTCAAAAATATCTGAACTTGATCTTGACAAACGTGGGAAACGAATCAATAAGCTAGAGCCATTCATTTATCAGATTATATTTTCAACGACATGCTAACATTGTTCTTGTAAAACCCAGAATTTTCCTCCAGAATTTTTCCCATTTCCCATGTAAATGTCGAATTATGGTGTTTTAATGAATGCGCAGCCTTCTCGCGAGTTGTCGATTGAATTGCATCTTTCAGCAAGCAACGCTTTCAATTCATCCGAATTTATCTCCTCCTCTCATCTATAATGTTCCTTGTCTTTTAAATAAAAATTACTTCTTCTAAAGCATCGAAATCACTATCGACATGAATTTTTCGGTTTTCGTTCCCTCACCATAAGTTTCACAAATCATTCTAATCGCCTCAGTAGTTGCATTGATGAAACAAAAAAGCAATAACAATATGTATCCTATCAACTTCCATTTTTATACAAACTAAAAATGATTATTAATGCATATAACGACTCATGTGTTACACTTTATGTAGATTAATCAAATTAATACTACAAAATACTAAAAAACGTCGCAAATAATTATATATTTTATATATAATATAAATGTAATATAATATTATATATATTTATATATATATTTATATATAAAAATTATATAATTATATTATAATTTTCTTTAAAAAAATAGTAACCATAAAAAAATATATCAATAATGTCGCCATTTGTGAATGAAACATATCACAATCATATAGTTTGAAAAACCTTGAAAAACCTTATAAATTTTGTTTAATATTTTTTTTTAAAGCTTGGACTGATCTTACTATATAAGAATTGCAAAAATTTTAATATTAATCACCTTTAATCTAATTTCTTAATTATCTTAATTAAAAATATTATTTTATTTAAAAGTAAAAAGTATTATATTTCACATAAATAAATCATAATTTGTAAAATAAGCAAGAAAAACAAAATAATATAAACAGTTCTAAATTTTAGCAATTCTTAAATTTAATCGACCTATAAAGTTAATCAGAGATGGTAAAACTGGCCTATTGTTCTCAAGATATATGATATGATATTTTCGTATTCTTAAAACTTGTAAAAAAATACCAGAAAGTAAGATATCTATCCAATAAATCACGTAAAAGTGTAAAATCATTCTTGAAATAATGGTCACTGCTCAGCTATCAGAAACAACTAGATCTAGTGATAGATCTGATAATTTCTGATAGCTAAGCAGTGTACCATTAGTTCAAGATTTATTTTACACTTTTATGTGATTTATTGGACAGATATCTTACTTTCGGACTTTCGGATTTTTTACAAGTTTTAAGAATAGGAAAATATCATGTTTTTAAGGTTTTTAAAAATACAAGATAAAGCTACATGACGCAAGAAACGTCATAATTCAATATGGCTGCAGAGAGATAACCGAGCCGTAACTATTAGGGATAATCTTTCGATTTCTTTGATCATTACAGAACAACTTGTAAATAAAAACAATCAAGCATGTTAAAAGATTCTTAATCTTTAAAAAAAAATAGAAAAATAAATATAATTCTCATTTCTATATACATTATTTTCTAGCATTTCTTACAAGTTTTTTTCCTACATAATACCTAAAATTTTTAAATCTTTCTCCTAAAATCTAAATTTTCTAAATTTAAAAATTTTAAATTGTCTTCACATTATACTCTTTTAAATTTATTATCTTTCTGAAAAAAGATAAGAATTTAAGAATTTAAAAATTATAGATGTTAAGAATTTAAGAATTATAGGCATTAAAAATGCATATTTTCAGTATTTTATATTTTATGTACTTTTTAAATTACATTTATTAATCTTTCTCATTCTTTAATATGTAGATTGTTCTAATTGTTAAATTAGTAGAATAATCATCTAATATGCCTAAATTATATAAATTCAATTATTGAATTAAATATATGTTTACAATTTTCACATCCGCGTGAGCACTTACAAAGATAATTTTATATTATTAATTCTCCTTATTAATTCTCCCTAATGCCTTGTACAATTGCATATTAATGTTACTAGCGTTACTTATGAAAATATGCAAAAGTGATAAGCACCGCGATTCAGCATACGCGATATGCCACATGATTCCATTTAAAAATTTGTACAGATAATACCCGTCTTCCTCGATGGCTATTTCACTTTGGCAGGCATAACGGACCAAACAAACATAACGGTAGTTAATGAGCGGTTCGACTCGGACCGCGTATATAGCTGTCTTCAGTATCGCACGTGTTCTGTCTAACGTGCGATTCGATTTTGGACAGTGAGTTGGACGATTATGCAAATTATATTCGCATAGTCACGAAACTGATCATTATCCTTCGAATTCATTATCATTATGCTTCGAATGCAAGTTCCACGCTGAGAAACTAAGAATCCAAGAAAAAATGTTTATATCAATAATAATGCACTATAAGAAACAACTGTTCTAATTTGCATGAAATATCAGATTTTTTACCACGATTTTTTAACGTTTTTATGAAAATAAAAAATAAAAAAAAAGAGTATGAGAAAAAAGATAGTGATGTATAAACAAATAAAAATATTCATGAAAATAACGAAAAAAATAACATTATATTCATTTTATTTTCGTGAAAATATAACAGTTGTAAAATAACAAAAATTTGATTGTTCATAAATCATAAAAAATATTATTATTCTATCTATCTCTATTCAATGTTAATATCCAAATTGAATCACAAATTAAAAAAATAAAAAACATACTAATAACTAAGGTTAACGGAAAACAATAAAAATGTCTATAGAGTATACACTTTTCAAAATTTCATAAGTTTTCTAAAATCAGAAACTATCAATAATAATATCTAATATCTCATAATTGTGATTTTTAATAAAATAAAATAACGAGAAGTTAAAGGAAACCAGACGATGTATTTAAAAAGAAACCACTTCGCTAGATCGATATATTATATATACATATACCGACAGGTGATTGAAAATAATCTAAAAAAAGTCAGATAAAAAAATTTAAACAAAAGAAATGAATATATGATTTATAAAGTTTCATGAAAAAAATTGTGTTAAATAAAATTAATTTTACACGCACACACGCACGCACGCACGCACGCACGCACGCACGCACCACACACACACACACACACACACACACACACACACACCACGCACGCACATATGCAATGTGCCATTTTATTTTTAATATCAAATATCTGAAATCGCGGGATTTTAGAAAAAATATATTATATAAATATTATAAGAATTCGATATCCAGATTAATTTTAAAAAATCATATTACATAATAAGAAATTTATAATTCTATTTAAAAAATTAGTGATAAAAATTAATGATAAAAAAATATTTACAGTAATTCCATTTGCAAATGTTAATAATAATTATTATAATTATGTCCGAATATAGCCTCTTTGAGATCCTATAATTTTTACCGATTAATTTTTTTTCTAAAATTCCGCAATATATATTGCAGATATTTGACTGTCAGAAATAAAATAGGACATCCTGTAATCCTGTGTGAGTGCTGCTTGCATACGGGAGTGGGCGTAGATGTGTATGTACGAGTGTGTATGTGTTAATATTATTTATTATATATGTCTGTATACATGTAAAATTAATTCATTATTTATATTCATAATTCTCTCGTTATCACTTCAATATACAAAAGCTGTTTTATGTAAAAACATAAAATGTAACCAGTTTTAATCGACTTTTGAGATATTCGCAAGTATGTACTATTAAGTTAAGAACCTATCATTCTGTACAATTACTTTATATCTTTCATATCATACCGTACACGCATGAATTTAATTGAATATACACGTCTTAATTAGGATAGAAATTTTGATAAACATTTTACTCGCCATGTCTCAGGAAATCCGCACACTTTAAGCAATCAGTCTTGCGTATCTTTCGCATTCGTCTTCCCTGATGATAAATTTTTATATTTGAGCAGAATTCAAAAAGTTTATTTTTACATTTTACATTTTTGACATTAAATATAGTTATAATTTCATGACTAGTATCTGGAAAACAATAAATATTCAGATAAAAACTAGATGATTTTTTAAGAATTCTCCTACATGGCTGGAGAGATACAAAATTATCCGACATTTTTGATCAATTTTAAATGCCTTATGATAATGAGGATACTTAATATAGTATCTTAAAAAACAGAGAATTATGATTTTCATGCATGTAGTTATGTATAATATATGCGTCTTTTAAATAAAGACGGTAATGATTAATTTTGTTTATTGTATAACGGTAGCGAAAAATCAGGCTGACCGGATATCCACAGCTCTGAATAATATCTATGAATAATAAACAAATTAAGTAAAAGGTAAAATTATAGCCTAGAATGATTGGAACGAAGACGAGCGTGTCGCTTCCTAGTTTTTAAGCTTAACGGCGGCCTTGTTACCGCCAGCGAATTGATCATCATCCGCATAGCACGACTCCTAAAAGTGGAACAGTCGTATCCTTCCAGATTCTACGTATAAAAGCGTGCGCCGCATATATCGTCGCACGCGAATTTCTATTTCTCGAAGCCACTGCTACCAGGTAACTTTTTGCCGAACGTATATTACGTGCATTGCATATACAAAAATTACATCGCTACAAACTCAAAGAAAGAAAAACGAAATCGATTCAAAACCACTTAACAAAACTTAGAGATGAAATTCTGACCTGAACAAACGTTTCATCTCACTAGACATTTAATAATGTAATATTATTTTTATATTTGTAGTTTGCGAGTATGTTGTATATTTAATGTTATATTATATATAGTATGCTTAATAATATTTGATCGCGCGCATACATATATAAATTATAATTATTATTATATATTATACATTATATAAATTATAATATATATACATATATAAATTGTCCTGGAAATCTCTTCTCAGTAAACATTAACTAACAGTAACATTATATTAATGTAACTGTTTTTCACTCAACAATGTAAGTATAACGTAACACATGTATGTAACAGTTATATTATCGAGGAGAAAATTGTATAAAATTATAATGTTACTGTTAGTTATTGGACTGTATCATAATAAATTCATTTAACAATAAGTAATTGGTGCAATTAGAATTTTATATATTTTCCATTAAATGGAATCATGTAAATTTATAACTCCTTTAGAAATACTACAAAATAATAATTTTACATAAATAAAACAATGAAAATATATATATCAGTTATGGATATATGTGACAATCAATAAAATACTCATATAATTATTACATAATATTTTATTTTTTATCAGGCATGATGTGGCATTTTATTGAATGTAAATTTTTATGAGTCAAACATCATTTTCACTTCATTTTTCAGTAACTCGCAGTATATGATTATAAAGAGATAAGAGAATAAGAGATTATAAAATTATACATGATAAAACTTCCTTGGTGATAAATTTTTAAGAAGCAGACTCTTTGATGCATTTACCAATACTATCTTCCTAATATAATATCATCTTTTAAGTCAATTTTAATATTAAATCTTTAATGCTAAAGGCTTGAAATCTAATACTAAAGGCTCGATAACATTTTAAATTTAAATAACAGGCTATGTGCAATAAATTGATGAGAAAGATTGATTTGACTCAACTGTATCATTTGCTGATCTCTCTATCAATTTTGTATAAGACATTTCTTGACTCTCTTGTAATATTCCAGTCAATCATAAAAACAATTCTTACCTGACAGGAAGGTGCTAGCCAAGGAATCATCATCCTGTCCGCCAACTAACCCGACGAGCGCGAGTAGAAGGACGATGCCCCCGGAGGTGGCTCTCAGTATCATCTTCAACCTCCCTCTAACCGTCTCCGTTTGTTTTTTTCAGCTCCAGAAAAGCAGTGAACAAAAATAAAGAGAGAAAGAAAAGAAAGAGAGAAATTGTCTCCAAGATTGAGGCACTGTCTTATCCGTGTGATCTCAATCACGTGCGTATCAAACTACTTCTCTTTACCGCCAAGAGAGTTCAACAACGTTCACAATGTTGCATCGTACGGACCTACATCGCCTGCCGCGGCTTGTTTGACGACGGACACTGACTGGGTAGAGATCAGGGCCTACTTGTGGGTCAGGGTGTGTGTATCCCCACTTTCGCATGGCGGCGGCCCAAGGAAGTAAGAGAAATAGAGAGAAAGAAAAAGACGGAAGGTAACAAGACAGAATGACGCTCGACCGGCTTTATAAAAGAGAGGGGGATAGGGTTGTTCACAGGGGCAATGCTAGCTAGGATTTTTGTTGCTTTCTTCGTTCCTACGCTTCATAATGAACGAGATTAGCGACTTAGATTAAAGCCACAAAATAGATAACGTCTACAAAAAAATACAGTCGGCATACTAATTAGTATATCAATTAGCATTGAGGAATTTTAAATTCTTCACAAGATATTTGGGAATATCATTTGAAGCACAATGCTGATTACAATTTTCCCATTTATGATATGAAAGATCCCATTTATGAAAAATCTTTCTTTAATCTTCCATCGCCTTAATAAATAATTTGATCTTTTTTTTTCTTCTCCTTTGTCTGAAAAATCGAGAAAACAATTTCATTCATAATTCAAATAAAAATAAAAAATTTATTATTAATATCTAATCAGATAATCTGTTTCTGCTTTCTTTGGTACGCAGTTTTTATTTCTCTCGCGATAACTAATCATTTAAGTATTTTTGTTGGATTATCGTGTACTTGTTCACATCATAGTCATAATCCATATTCGTCGCTTCTTCTAAATCTTTCCGCTCTCCTCTGCACGGCCGGATCTCACTTCTTTTTTCCTATTTTTCTTCAGTTTTAAGCTCTTCTTCCTCTTTCCCTCTTCATCCTGTTCTCCTTTCTAGCCGCTCTTCCGTCATTCTCTCTTTCCTTTCCACACACGCACGTTTGTACTGGTATAAATATGTGTACATGTCTGCGTGTGCACAACGCGTCTGCATACGTGCCTGTGCGCGACTAGCGGTACTTTATCCGTAAATGTACGAGATACCGTACGATATCTTCTTCCAGAATTGATCATACTTTGCACAAAATAGCATCGTCTCATACGATCGTAGCATAATTTTCTGAAATATTTCCACAAGAATCGCCCAAACGTAATTATTAAATAAATATAATATTTATAACATTATAATCTAATTCGTAATTGCGCTTAAAGCACATTAGTTATCTACTAATTACTTCGCGCTAAGAAGCAGAAAATAATAAAAATTATTGAAGGGAAGAAGAAAAACCAGCTTTCTCTTTTCACTCAATTTTATGTGGAAAAAATAGATATATGAATATCTAAAATATTTAAAAATAGCATCTCTATCAAGATATAATTAATATTTATTAAAATGATATTGTGATTTGCGAGTTATAATTATTTTAAATTACCGTTGTCACCGATGTCAACGTTTCGTAAACATTGCAATTCTTTTCATTAGATGACCTGACTATACATACGCTTCTCGCTCTAATAAAATGATTTGAATATTCAAAATGTTCACATTAATAGTTAGTTACACGATAATAACCCGCAAACCACAATACAATTTTGAAAGAAATACCCGTAGCTTAAAAAAAAAGCCTTAAAATACTTATTAAAATATCTTATTAATAATTTCATACTTTATATATATACATAAATTTGTTCTTTTCAATAACATTTTTCAAATTATATGTGTGTATAGTGAACATTCGGCTGCGAGAAACACTTTCTTCATTATGCGCTGTTTCTCTCTAGCCGTTAGTAGCAAATCGTGTCTTATCTCTGCTGAATAAGAACTGAATAAGGACTGTTAAAATCCTATATATCATGTCGATAACAAGTGATGTATAATTAGAAAAGCTTCACACTAATAACGATAAGAATAGTAATTAAAATAATAAGCAGTGCGTGTTCAGTTGATAGAGATAAGATGCGCGACCGGTTGCTAACGGCTGGAAGAGGACGATGCATGATGAGAGAAGCATTTCTCCGACTGCTGTACCGAGTGAACAAATCAATGTTGCTGCTCACCATATATTAAACATTACATAAGATATCTTTCACGAGAATTCATTACATACGATAAAAAACTTTAAAAAAAATGTTCGTAAATATATATTTTATTATAATATAATACGTAGAATTTTAATGTTATTTTGAATATTATTGAATATGAGAATATATTGGATTGTCATTTAATCACTTAGGATAACCCTAGGTGAGCTGGATCGATAAGAGTGAACTTTTCTATACATTCAATTAGCCATATAAGTGGCAGGGTCTTAATATGTGGCATATTATACTTAATAAGCGGTTCACCTTTACCTGGCACATATATAACATAATGTGTACACTTGTGTAAAGGATGAGACGCATTATTCGCAGTATGAAAAGGTATCACTTGTGACATATCTTTCAGATCTTCTGGATCTGGTTTTCGAGTGAGTACTGTTCCTTCTCCTTCCTTTACAAGTCGAATTAAATCATCTTTCGTTAATCGCACGTCGCCAATATGATAAGTTGTATTAGCTTGCAAAGCAAAATAAAAGAAACAATTATTAAATAGGCGTGGGTTTTGACATATCGCATTTTGTCTCGCTTTCCTTGGGATACCATAAGTTGGCGCGCCGTTAATTTCGAACAATTCAAGATCCACGGTAGCTACATCATCCATATCCGTTGCTAGTTGAATCCCTTTAAATAAAGTATATATTAATATTTCGTTCCTGTATATTAATTTTATATCATTTAAATTTTTATTTTTTAACAATTTTTATAACATGATTTTACTTTATATATAAATAAAATTATTAATATTGAACAATCAAATTATAACATAAAAAATTGCTGTAAATGTGTAATATTTCATTTCTTCTTACATTCACTATTAAGAAGCCAGCTTCCATAAATAATCGCAAACAAAACATCAAGTGTCAATGTTGTAATATTTTGCTCATTTGCCTCCACTATCACATGTGTAACAGATGGTCTGAAATGTAAAAGTTAATTATATCATATTCTATATTCAGTTGCAAGAAAAAATAACGAAATAAAAAAATATAAAAAAATGTACCTATATGTAGTCAAAATTTTGAATTTATGTCTTGCAGCTACAAGACCAAGCAATTTCTGATTTTCATGTTTTAAATTTGATGCAAGAATTACATATTTATCACATCCTGTATGAAAAGATTTATCTAGCGATTGATTGAGGTCTGATACCTTTTCAGATGGAGGCTGTGATACATCCATCAGAAGTTGTCGCATTTCTTCTGATTTACTGTAGTCTCTATATTACAAGCAAATCAAGATTGTATAATTTTTAAAATATATATATTTTAAAATATAGATCTTTAAAGAGATACATCAGGGTGACAAGTCAAAAAAATCGACTTTATTTTATCTGAAAGTTTAACGTTTTAACAATTTTAAAATATATTGTTTATCTTCGATTCTTGTGGCTTTTTCTAATATTTTAACTGTTTTTATTTGCAGTCAAAAAAATGAAAAATTAATTTCAATTTTAAATAATCGCCATTTTATGAAAAACTGTTATTTTTAAAAAAGCCATGATCAAACAATAGCTATATTATTTAAGAATAAGATTGTGTTCTCGTATTCACTGAAAATAAAAATATATAATTCATGTTATATTATAGATTTGCAATACTGGCAATAAATATTAGGATGCAGATTATAATGACACAATTGTTTTACGTTTGTTCCTAAAGATCAAAGAAAGTTATATCAACAGTGAAAGTTTTTAAAAAAAGATATCTTTTTATTGCATCTCAATCAAAAATTAATATTTTTTAATTAATTCTTTTTTTAAATATATTCTGTAAAATGTAAAATATAAATTTTTAGTTCCTGCCAAATTCTCTAAGTTAAATTGTCTCTCAAATTATAAACAGTACAATTACATGCTAAAAATAAGTATATCTTTCGCCACCCTGCTATTCCCTCTTAAAATGTAATCTTTTCTGCTATAATAAAATATATACATACATAGGCTTTTTGCCATATTGATCATATGAGTGTTTATCAGCATTATATTGCAACAATAATTTGGCTATTTCGATTTTGTCATGTTTAGCAGCTTCGTGCAATGGTCTTCGGTTGTTATAACCTAACATATTAGGTGATGCTCCACCTGCTAGTAGTAATTCACATATTTCAATCCACCCATAACTGATCATTTCTTGCTGAAATATTATGCATAATAATATAAATCCAAGTCAACAAAATAGAAAAATATAATTTATTTACAAAAAAAATGTATTTATTTACACACACACACACACACACACACACACACACACACACACATATATATATATATAAT